TAATACCAACATTCTGCATTTGCTTGTTGTTGAATGTTACCAGAATTCATTCATTCCATTTAATAGTTTCTCTTTATAGGAAAATAAAACAATATTCAGCTATATTGCTTTCACTACACTGATGACATGATTCAAATAAAATCCTCACCACTGCATCATTGAGGGAAGTTCCTTTGAGTTGTATTTTATAAGCATAGAATATTCAGATGCTTTCACTGGATTTTTTTGAGCAAAGGGAATTGTATTTTTGCTTTTCCAGTTTTGAGTTTTCAATCGATTAGTTTCCTATAATTTTCCAAAATCTCAGGAGGCATCTGAATATTTCTAGAGGTCCAATCCCATTCCTGAAAAAAGGACAATTGTTTTGTGATGTGTAACACAAAAATGCAAATATTAAAAACCAAACAGCTGTTTCTATTACAGCAGACTGCTAGCATATACCAGAAAAGTTTCATAATTAAAAACATATTCGTATTTAGGCCAAATTCATTTGACCCCTCAAGTCTAATGCATATTTGTAAAGGAGAATCTAAAACATCTGCACTTCCCTGTAATTGCCCTACAGCCCCAAAACCACTATCTTGCACTGAAAGTACCAGAATACTTCTCTGATCGTAATGCAAACCCACTCTTTCAACATAACCCAATAGATTATTCACTTTTTCTTTCTTGGACCCTCTGCAGGAGTTAAATTCCCCATGAGTAATCACACCAATTTCATTTAAAAAGAGAAAATGTAACTCACGCTTTGTGGATTGGGCCACTTTTAGCAACATTGCCCTAATTAATCTTACATTTTTCTGAAACTGAGGCAATGAAGGTTAATCTCAATAAACAGAAATACATTTGAAAGTCTCATTTCATTTGTGTAATTCAAATGACAAAGTGAAACTCATATTATTTCACTAAATCCTGTATATATATTTATACCACACTATCTTCCTCCACTTAACTTTCCTTTAATATGCTTGTATACAGCTGAGAATCTTTGCTCATACTCTTCATTGTGAATGATCTAACAGTAATACCTAACACTAGACAGCTGTCAGATCAGCAGTTTTAAGCATGCCTGCAAAGGAAATTCCAACACTTTTATCATGTAAATTGCTTTAATTTTCACAAAACATTTTTAAAGAAAGAAAAGCAAATGCATGGTGCTCATTTCTGGATATAACCAGGGGAGAGGCAGGCTGCATGTCAAAAGAGATTGGTGGTCCATCACAGGCCATCATAGAAACACAGGACAGAAAACCAAGTCAAACTGAGGGAGGAAGCTGGAGTACCCAGAGAGAATCCAGACATGAACGGGGATTACATGTACACTCCAAGCACACTTTCACCAAAGCCCCTCTTAAGAAAACCATTTAAGGAAAAGAAAATAGTTGAACAAATCCAAAAAAATGAAAGGGTCTTGTTGCCTCTAACTGGGTAAAAATAAAAATGCACTTGTTGTTTATATTCAGCAGAAAGGAACAAAAAAAAAGTTAGAATTAAGTAAGACCCCGACCTGACTAACATAAAGTGATGCACTGTAAACCATCAAACTAATCCAACCTAAACTAAACCAAACAAAAGGATGGACTAATGAGCTGAATGGGGAGCAGGTGTGGGTGGAACTGGCAGGGGGGAATCCAAGGGGAAAGAAAACAATCACAAGGGGGCAACAGAGAGTAACTAAAGAATGCTTGAAGATCATGGAAAATAAAAACAAAACAACTGATAACAGAAAAATGAAAACTCAGAGTCACAACAAATAAGAACCATAACACTTGCAGGATTTCCTTTGGTTAACAAAGATTTCTCAGTCTGCTCTGTGGGCCATAACTGTGGCTGTTAGGTCATGTTTTGGAGATTTGCAAGAAAGGAGCAGAAATTAAATTTCAGGATCAATACATAGAATAACTGCAAAGGGAAGCTACCACTAAAAGAGTGTGATGCAACGGTTCTATGTTTTAAATTAATATTCTGTCATAGATTTTAATCATTTATACAATTGCCAGCAATCTAAAGAAAGCATGAGCTTTGTTTTGTTATGTTTTTTTTGTATTTTTATTGTACTATTGATGACAAAGGTAACAGCTGTCTACTACATGCCTGTGAAAATTGACAAAGAATTCAGAAATTGACAAAGAGTCCCAGATAAGTGTCAAAGGGTTGAGTGAAAATCACATTTAGCTGTACAACAACTACTGCTATGAAAAAGTGATTATATTTTTTGTATGAGTTGTATTTATTCAAATTCTGCAATGTATTATTTAAAGTGTATATTTTCTGATTAAAAAGGGGAAAAAAACACATTTTAGTTAAAGCTGTATTTTAATGTAGAGATTATGTTTGGTTAGGATTTATATTTATATTAATTCAGAATGAGAGAATAATTCCTGCTTTTTGGCAGTGTGCAGCAAACATTTTTGATGTGGGTGGGAAAGGATGCAACATGAAAATGTTTTAGAGGTAAAAAATATATAAATGATTTTTCACTCTTATACCCTTCAATGAGACCTGGTGCAACCAGAAAGCACCTTATCCAAAAGAATAAAGTCAACTTGTGTGTAAATTACCTCATTATAAATCTTGATTCCTTTCATTAGGGAACAAATAACATTATTAGAACAAAGAAATGGAGCAGACAGGTTCGGGAGAAGGTTTTGCAGTAGTTTAAAGCAGGGTTAGGTGACAAAACAATGTCCCAAAATAAGTGTTGGACAGACAAATAGAAAATAGAAAGCATACATACAACCTCTACTGAGAGGTAATGGTCAAATTGAACTCAAAGGCCATTTCAATAACGCATTTACCAGTAACCTTTGGGGGAGCTGCAGAGATACTCAGGTCAGTAGAGATGACCTGGTGTCAGTACAACTATAAGCTGTGTAATTCAAAAGCGAGACCTTTATGTTGCTGACAGGCTGGATGGAGGCTCAAATTAGTATTTTGTTCATCATGCAAAAAAATAGCTGTAAAAGAAAACTAACCCAGCATCCTCAGAGGGAAACATAGTGGTGGTAGCAACATGTTTTGGGGAATCTCTGGGAAAGCACAAAGATGCCACGTCTAGATCTGCAAAGACAAGCCCAAGATTTGCAACTGTTGTTAGAAGAAAAAGGGGGAATTTAGGATTTTATTTTTTTCTTAAATAGAGCTATATACGGGATTTTTTTAGTATTCTATTGAATTTTTAATCCATTAAAATTATTAGAATTTGTTTTGCCTCTGTAAAGTATTATTAATAAATTCTGCAGAATGTTTTGCAATAGTATTTCAAAAGTATGTCTTAGCTTCCATAACAATAACAATAAGATCTGGATGTTTTGCATTGAGTTACCAGATGTCAAACACTTTTACCTCAGAAATATTAACATTCATTATGTTCATTTTGTTTATATCTAAATATTTTCTAGTACTCTGCGTGCTGATATTGAATTCTGAAACTTGATAGAATCTCCATTCAGTGACGAGTTTTCAAAAACCTTTGTTTCTTCTGTGAAACGACACATCATTGATCTATAAATTATAGCAAATTATCACGTCTTTTCAGAAAACCCATATTTTATCTTTCATTCTGTGACCTGTAAAGGCTTTTCTGTGTTGCAGGGAGAGGAAAGTTCAAAGTTTCCCCTTACATTGCATAAAATCAACAAAATATGGCATGCTATTCTAATAATATTGCAAACTCTCAGTGTTGTATAATATAACACATTTTTCTACAGTTCTTAAGGAATCTGTGTTTAAGTAATTTTAATTAAGGATGTTATCAGATGTTGACATACACACAGATGTTTTCTCAAACACATTAAAATCCCATCAAATGTGTGACACCACAGGGATCAGGTTCAGGCCCTAAGCTGTTTACTTCATCAATGCCCTATGTGAGGGCTTATGTTCAAAAAACATATTTGACTTTAACTATTTATAAATTCAAATAAAACAAAAGTCATTTTGAAAATGAAGATCTATCAACAAAATCAAATTTAACTACATTAGTAAATTAATCTGTCTTTGTGCAATGTTTTATCTCAAATTTTGCTGGAAACCCCACATAAAAAAGAAAGTTACCACCAAGCCTAGGGGTGTTAGGGAGGGTGCAAAACTCATCTTGGGGATCCCAGTAATCTGTTCAAAAAACTACAAACATTATAGTTATCATTACATACTTTAATTTAATGAATTAACCTTTTTTCTATGTCTTCGATGTAAAAAAAAAAATAACATGGAAGGCTGAAAGCATCATAAATAGCCAACTTCTACGTAAAAATGACACACTAACTGTGACACTGAGGACACCCCATAGTCTAACCACCTTATTAACAAAATAGCCTCACTTTAACACAGATATATTGAGCATTTAAAGATTGTATTTATATCTTCACTAAGCACTATAGCAGAAGTTATTGAAAACTATGTAAATGTTCAGTTTGAGAGGATTTCCCTGTTAAATTATGGGGCTGAAAATATCTTAGGGTTTTTTCTCAATTTGATTTATGTTAACTGCTTGGTTGTCTGTTTGAAATGAATGTTTTTCATTCATTATTGACAATATTATTACTATTACTATTAAAAATAGTGATAGTGAAAAACATATGATGATGACCACATGTATTTATGTTTCTTGCTAAAAGGTAAAAAATGAATTATTGAAGGCTATTATTGATAGTTTCTGGGTGACTGCTTTGTAATCGCTTTGACCTCATTAAGAACCTCATTATTAATAATAACCACTAAGCAAACATGTTGTATGGAGGCAGTTTCCTGTTGGGAAATCCCTCGCTTCTAAAGGGTATAAAATGGGCCCATCTTTAAGACGTCTCCGGCATCCCCGACTATCAGAGGAAACTCTTTCAGTGCTTCCCAGCAGCGCGTCATGAACTCTAAATTCAGTAAGTCAAATGCAACAAGTGCTTCTGCAAGGCAGCTTCCTGTGGGTCCCTTCTCTTCCTCTTTTTTTCATTCATTCATTCATGCTTTAACTGTCTGTTGCAGATCTCCTTCTGCTCGCCGTGATGCTGGCAGCAGTCCTGCCGCTTTGCGTCCTTGGAGCCCCCCTGGCAGACGCACCCACTGACCTCCCTCCAGATGAGATGTCAGGTGAGAAAGAGGAGGACGACCAGAAAAACACTCCCAGACCAGAAGTCTTTAATATCATCAATATCTGGGAACAGGTGCTTTCATCCACTAACAGCCACAAAAAGAAGGTAGGACATATTTCTGGATTTATTTACTTTTACAAACTTATGGAAAGGAGAGATTATTTGCAGGCCTATAAACTTAAAATTATTATGCTAGTTATAAGTTTACAACTACTTTAATATTTATAAAGCACTTCAAAAAAGGGGATTCACAAGTAGGTTAAGTTTATGTGCACCATTCACAACATGTTTTATACATAAAAATACAACTACTTTTCTTTTCCTTTTATCATTTCCTCAAAAGTTGATATATGGCTACTTAGGATATAAACAGCTGACATATTTCTTGTCTGATTCTGATTTAGTCATATCTGATTATTCATGTCTACATTTTTTCCTCCTGAATACAGCTAATCAGTGTAACGTAATTGTTTGTTTTTGTCAGTTTGAGATTGAGTTCAGCAGCAACGTTGAATACGCATTGTTAAACCGCTACAAACTTCCCTCAGTCCCTGGTAAAAAGCCCAACTCCTCCTCCAGCAAGGTAGATCAGATTTATTTCCTTTCTTTTATATCTGGATTCTTCAAATCAACTGGAAATCTGACAGTTCTTCCTGTGACTTTCTAGGAGGTCTGTTTCCAGTGGCTGGCCAAGGGTCTGATGGACTACAAGGTTCTCCTGAAATATGTTGTCAGAGAGTACCCCAACAGCCCCATTGTGGCTAAAGTCAATGCAGCAATCCCTCTGCTGATTGCACACATCAAAGCAAAGGTAAGTCCTCGTTAGGCTAAAAACTTCAAAACTATCTCAGCTTGAAAGAATTGCAAAATGCAATTGAAAATATTTTCATTTTCATTGCAACATTCAAGCATCTACCAATTTAATGAAAATACACAGCATGTTTTTAACCAGAATTTGTCTTTTCTGGCTAACGTATATTACCGTATAGATTTTAAAGGATAGGAAATCCAAGGTTATATGAGCTTATTTCATGAAATGAAAGTTATCACTGTAATTGGTTCAAAAATGGAACCTTGTCCCATGCAGATTTGCTGCACACATGGAAATATTCTTAAAGTGCTTATTTTAAAACTGAAGAATAGAATGATGTACCTTCACAATAGGCAAGCCATGATGCATAAAAGCAAAATGGGCTTGAGAGTTATACCCATTTAGCCAAACATACTAATAAAACGTTAGGAGGAAGGACAAAATCTCCAAATTATATTGAATTAGATTTTTTTTTTGGGGGGGGGGGGGGGCTTGCTGCTGTATTTCTGTAACCGGTGTCATTTCTGCCCTATAGATGAGGAATGCTGACCAAGTTGTGGCTCCGACCAGCAGCGAGGAACAGCAGTGGCTGAAGAAGCTCGACAACCCAGATCTGTTCCACAGAAAGATGATGGCGCACAGCATCCTTCGCTCACTTAACTTTTTTCTTGTTGATGGCAAAAGGTTATATAGTAAGTGGGAGATGCCAAAAGGAAAACCTCGAAATTAATCTGTTCAGCACTGGTTGTAGACCAAACCAAGATGTGTGACAAGCGACGCCTCTCTCTGCCTCCACTCTAACCTTCAAAACCTGGCAAAACAGCGTCAACTTTTAGAGAAACATGTCTAGAGAAGAATTAGGTAGACCTTATTTTGTCAAATGATCATCTTCAGCTGAATGTTTCCATTCTTCCCTCCATTTTGCTCCATAAGTATGCTGCTCTTTCTGGGCAGCGAGAGGCTAAGCCTGATATTCACCTAACCTATACAGAAAAAAAGAGAGATGGTGCGTGACGTCAATCCACTGTTCATCTTTAAAAATACCTTCAGTTCTTCAAATTAGTATATATTTTTTCTGTCTATAAAAATGAATTATTGCTTATTGCTCCTTTAAACGGCAGCTGATCGTCTCAAATGGGATGCAAATTTAGGAAAGAATAGCTCAGGTATATTACTCGGTTTCTACTTTTCTCAGGGGTAGGAAAGTGTCTTCTGTAAGATCACTGTGTGTAATCATCATCTTATTCAAAACATATTTAACCTATTTATTTTGAGTGAAATATTGTATTTATTAGAGAAAAGGCCACAATGGTTGAATACATTTTTTTCATTATTGTGAATTTTTTTGTTAAATTCCTTTCTTGTGAAAGTTGATTAAAAATTGTTGTCTCTTACATGTATTTATGAAGACTACATTTATTTATGTAGATTCGGTTTTCTGAAAATGTTGCAACATTTTTTAAGTAAATAAATAAAGCATTTTGGTATTTAGAAAAAAGAAATCAATTCTCTTCAATTTTAACCATCAGAACAGTTTATGTATCCCGCATATGACCAAGACTGAGCGGTCATACATGCTCAGTTTTGGGTGGGCAAGGTGACTAACTAGTTTCTCTCGGAAACTTGCCAACATTCATTGTGGGCACGAACATCATATTAAGTTCTTTTCAGGAGGGACTGAACCCTGAAATGAATATAAGTCCAGAAATACCTAAAACTATTTAAATCCTGGGCAAATTTTGATTTGGGTTTTTTTTCTTCTGTCAGCAAGTTCTTTCTTGGTCACAAATGACACGTCATCAAGAATGTAATTAGAGTACAGAAAGCATCATTGTGCAAAAAGAAAAATAGTTTTTTAGCTTTTATTTATATTTGAACATAAAGTGTTTTATCTGAAATTGTTGGCACCCTTCACTGTAATCCATAGAAAAACACTTATTGGCTATTATTTTCCTATAACTTCTGACCAGCTTTTTCATGTCTTTGCCAGTTTCATTCATTTTGAAGGGTCTTGTTGCCTAGCCCTAATCTTACGGCACTCACTGAAATACCTTGAAAATCTAAATTTCAAGCCAATAGTGTTGTTGGAATCAAAGTTAAGACCTTATTATCTTTGTAACATTTAAAAAATATGGCTATTTTGATGCCAAAAATTAATGTCAATGTAATAACAAGAAACGGCAACTTGCTCGAATATATCAAAAAAAATAACATAAGTGCTTCTGTAAGAAATTCATGAAAAACATTCTGAGAGTGAAAGAAACACAATTTATTTTTATTTTTTTTGGTACAACATAACCTTAGAGGTTTTAATGCTGATACTGGCACTGACACTTTTTAGTTTATAAACCTACCGGTAAATATAATTGTTAAATAGGCTTATTAACTTTTTAACTTTACTTTTTAACTTCTCAATTCACTTTTTTTTCCAACTTAAATTACAGTAGGTAATATATCATTCAAGGGCTCATCTAATTGGTCAAATGCAAAAATAAGATGTATAGCCATGTAGCAGGATCTTTGCTGAATTGCTGGATATAGATCTTGTGCTTCTAGATCTCACTGAGGGACTCCATTTGTAAGGGGTATGCAAGTGATCAAAAACGGTAACTTGCCCTATGAAGGGTTAAGCTCTCTCCACATATTCCAGTTAGGACTCTGCCTGGGCCACTGGAGAATACCACCCAACCTTTCCTGCACTTTAGCAGTGTGTTTTGGGTTGTAGTCATGTTGAAATATCAACTGGTTTCCAAAGCAGAGTTTTTCTGCAGACTGCCTAATGTTGATGTATTACTATTTTTCTCATGTTGCCATTCTCCTCTCATTAGGTTTCGTGATCCACTGGCTGTAAAAAAAACACCCTGACCACATTAGATTCCCAATACAACCTTCAACACTGTTCTTAAACTTGAGGACCTATCATTTATTAAGCTAAATAAAGGATACATCATTGTGTAATTCAATTTTCCCTCATCTAACCAGTAAACTGAAGAACCAGAAGTTGTCTTCTTTGTCTAGATGAGCATTAGGCCATGCAGGGTTATGTGTCACTTATCTAGAGAAGTGACCTCCTCTCTAGTCATGCATCAGAGTCCAGATTCAGTAAGAGGGCCTTTGTTATGATCCTTTGATTCCGATTCACGTCAATCCTGCAGATCAGAACAACTGTCTTATTTAATTTTCAAACAAGTTCTCTGAGATTTCCTACATTGTAGAATGTCTGGTATCTTTGGTAATACTTTGCAACGAACAAACTGATTTTGAAGTACAAATAGATATGGCCTTACCGCCCTTTCCTCACCTTCACTATTTACAATGAATTATGGTAACTAAGATGCTCTAGAACAGCTTGGACGATTTGGAACAGTATAGAACCTTGGATTTTCACTTAACTTTGTAAAGGGTAAGAATATTTTTGGGAATGCCAAATTGTTTTTTTGTTTGTTTTTTTTACAGATAAATGAAAGCTGAAATAGTGTCCCCCCGCAGCAATGCTGCTTCTGAATGATGATGCCTCTGACCTGTGACTGATTTCTGGTTAAGAAGAAACCTTTCTGGTTAGATAAAGGTAAGAGTCAAATTGGCATGGGGTATGAATTATTTTGACCTTGACTGTATTTATGCAGATATCTATGTCATTAAACTCCCCACTAACATCTGCATAAAGTTTCTTCAACAAATTGCAAAGAAAACCCTTTTCACAGTCATTTCTAAGCTTTCAGTTGGTTGGTTTTCCCACATTTATTTAAATAATCGTCCATTAATTTTAGGTAGACAAGCTTCATTCAGCTTCATTTCTAAATTCTAAAGCCAACTGTGATATGCTAGGCATCTTTGCCTTGAACAACTAGCAGTGCCCAAGTTCATTAGTCAATTAATAAAAAAAGGATCTAATATTATATGAGCAATACATCAGAACTACTATCAGTATATCACCCCCTCAGCATTAAGCTACTACTAACATCCATAGCAGTCGGTAGGATGTTAGGGCTTTAAATCTCACACATCTTAACTACTTTAAAATGCATCATCTGAACATAAAACAGAAGCCTACATTTTGTTTTATTCTCAAAGTTGATTTTATAAGAGTTGCTCTCTGTTAGAAGTCCATTTTAAGGTGTTATCCTTGCTTTATTGTGGATGGTGACACGCATGTTTATAATGGGCAAGGGGTGCAAGTGGATTGAAAATAGATGATTTCATGGCCAATTCAAAAATTTGACTTGCAAACATAATAATGAAACTAGTATAAACAAAATCTAGACTCATCAACAAAAGCAAAGGAAAATGCTGAAAGTAGCTAAATAATATGTAGGTTCTAAGGGACTGGAAACTAGCGCTAAAAGTGCTCCAGACCACTAGATGATCATCAACTCATATGGGGCCAGAATGTAAACATTACTACGAACTAACTAATGGGCCCGACCATTAGCAAAAACCTAAATGGGGTACCATCTACTTAATTGTTCTTTTGCATGTTATGTGCTTTTGTTTTCTTTACCAATGTCTGCAACGTTCCTTCTGTTTCAGCATGTTTCCACTTTGCTTTTTTTTTTTTAAATATATATCATTACAGCTTTTCTCCTTTGCAGCATTTTTCTTTGCATGTTCTTTTGGCTTGACTGTTTTTTGTATAAGCAATACCTTCTGAATTTGCTGTACAATCATGTATTTACATGGCATTTTCACCCCTCGGACACCGAAGATGTTACTGCAGCTTTTTGAGTGTTACCTAAAAAGATTGAATTTTTTTTCTTTTTCAGTTAGAAAGTCCTGATCAGATTAATGAAACTTAGAACACAATGAGGGGTTTCAACAATTCCGTAAAAGTTCAAAAAATATCCACTGGAGTTGGTTTCCAAGATTTGAAGACGTTTCGCCACCTCTCCAGGACGCTTTCTCAATTCTCAATATATTTTTTGAACTTTTACGGAATGACTATGACCTGGATGACTGAGGATCTTCATCAGCGGTTTCAACAATGTTTTCAAACAACTAATCTAGCTTTAGCTGTAATAATATTCCTCTCCAATACAACCAAGATGAACAGGGCTAAAGGCACAGAGTCTTAAACCCAAATTTACTCGATGGCAAAGACTAATTTAAATTAACTCTACCACTTATGCCAAAAAAGTGCTTAAATATCTAACCGGCATTATTCCAGAAGCTAGCTGTGGGACATTTAACCTAATATCAGATATTTGATCCTGTGGGTTCAATGTTAACCTTGTGTGAATAAAGTTCATAATAAATACCAACTTGCGTTGTAAATTTTTTATTTTACAACTTGACTGTTGTGTGTTTGCGTTTAGAGGACAAATGATAGTCTGCTGGATATCTTTACTCATTAGTTTATGTAAATTTCAGACAGAATGGATGTGAATCTTCTTGTTTTAAAGCAATAAACTTTTCAGATATGCATCTTGGATAAAAAGAAATGTAAATGACATTCCTTTGAAATTTTATTGTTTAAGATTTTAAATTAGAAATGAAAATCGTAAACCAATACAAGAAACAAGAGTGATACAGTAAGACAAGCAAGACAACATTGCTCTTGGTACAATTCTTCTCTGCTCTCTGAATCTTTTGCACCATAGCTGTCTAACATTAGGCAGGACGATCCACAGAGAGGAGGGAATGATGATATCCGCTGCCTGGTCTTTCAAAATCATGTCACAAACGCTCGATGAGAGATGGGTACAGCCGCGTGGCATTGGTCCTCAGCCCCAGAGCAAACTAGAGGAAAACAGAGAAGCAAAAAAGTTATCCAAGTATCTAATACCTGGTCGGTCCACGATAAGACAATTTAAAAAGGACTGCAGGAATCGTTGAATCTGGACTAAAAATTTATCAAAAGCGTTAAATTAATTTACGCATCATTGGTTTAGCATCATCTCATATCAAAATAAATGAAATACCCAACACACACTTTAAAGAATAAGTCTGTATATGCAAGGTGTCCAAAGATTGTCACAAAATGGAAAAAATATATTTTTCTTCTAAAAAAAAATGTATTTTTATTTAGGAGTTCGACAAATCACTCAGAACGCAATACTTCAAGTAAATAACTTCTGATTTTTTTATTGATAGTTGACATATAAATTAATTTGGATCAAAAAAACTTCTAAATGTTTGCCTTAATGGAAAGACCAGTAAGTCAGTTGTGAGGTCATAAATAGTCATTTTAGGCTCATTTTATTAGCTCTGTCCAAACTATTTGCCATGTAAATTACAATTATCAATCTGAAAAGACAAAAAGTATTTTTTTCTTTTTTTTTTTAAACTAATCAAAAATTTAAAAAAAGGTAAGTGAATCAGTGGAATCGGTAAATAAAAAAGATCTTCCAGATTTGCCTCAATAAAAAAAAAAAATTTTAAAAAGTGTTTTTGTCTTGTCTCCAATTATTGATTTTCCTCTCTCCTGCAGCTGGATCATAGCATTTCCAAATATGTAGGTCTGCCAAAAAGTTGGCAACAGTGGTGTTTAAAGAGTTCAATACAACTCGCTAAAACAAATTTTCAAAGGCTTTGGAAGAGAAATTGTCCATGAACCTACGCCACAACAGCGGAATTAATCCAATTATGTTTGGGTTTAAAAAGAAAAGAAAGAATGTGCTCAAATTAGAAATTGTAAGATTATTCCCTGCCAATAAAATTGTAGGAATTACATAAGAATCATCCAGTAGTATTTGCAGATTTTTTAATGAGTTGATTAAATCAATCATTTAAAAGTACAAAAATCAAGCATTAGGTTAGAAAACTCATTTCCAAAATGTTCAAGGAAACTATAGCTTTAAACAGTCAGGATTTGAAGCATCAGTTGCTGCCCGTGCATATGAAGATTAGATCACTACAAAATCACAACAGACTCGTGGAAGTAAAACTGGTATCGATGATTCATTTCACATCGGTGCTCCCCAGCAGAGATGAGTTTCCATTTTCAAAACACATGTAACTTGGTGGTGAATATGAATTGTGGTGGTCTGTATGAATTCTTGAGCATTTTTTTTTTGTGGTTCCCATACAAATTTCAGGAAGCAGAAGTCATTTAAAGCCCAGTTAAACAAATCAAAACCATAGTTATTAAAATGTGTTTTTACGTCAAACTGCAGCAGAAGGCAGCACAGCTTTAACCTCAACGGATCAACTCTTGAGTCAGAAAACTTTAACTTTACAGCAGCTTCCAGAATGACTTGTGGAGTTGAGTAATAAAATAATAATAAGAGAAACATGAATGCAAGTTAAAGTCTTTGCATAGGGGGAGAGAGATTTAGTGATATTAGATCATTAGGATTACAAAGTGCCTACATCTAGAAAACATGTTCTAAGACAAATCTTGTTTATTTTCTGCACTATGCTCTTGAAAAGACATCAGATTTACTTCTTAATGGCAGCTACTACTATGCACTGTCCACTTGGGTCCATGACAAATCTCCCCTATGGGACAATAAAGTATATTCTGTTCTCATAATTTTTCTTTAGTCTTATCACAGTAATGCACTTTAATAGTATTGCCATTTACCTTTGCTATTAAAGTGACAAAAAAGAGTTCATGCATCAATTTCTGTTGTGTTCAACACAATTTATAAGTTAAAAAAAAAAAAAAATATATATATATATTATATAAAACATCTTTGGCCTACTTCATACTGTGTTTGCTGTGATGCCAATAGTTTAGTGAAACAAAAATTATCCAAATTGATACACTTTTGCTAATTTTATGTCGCCCAATATCATCAAATATCATTTCAATTCAAAAATACTTCATTAATCCCAAAGGGAAATGAAATGTTGCAGTAACCCATGGGCATATGCTGGTGTGGAGGATGGTTATAAGTCTCATACTGTCCCAAATTGAAGGGGGAAAAATCCCCAAAAGTCCAAGTCAAAACAAAACCAGCAAAATGTTTGACATAAGAGTAAGAGTTACCCAATTATAAGCTGATAATTTCTTTAACAAAAACATATTCTTCCTTCAAAATGTTAAGTTTCTTTTTCTTTTTAAGTTTTTATGGCAATAGTGGCTCATTTTTTTTTTCAACTGACCAGAAGGGGGGTATGAGAGCAGGGGAGAGACATGCGGCAAAGGACCACAAGCCCCATTGACGACCTACAAAGCCTCATTCGCACTAACCACCGCACCATTGAAGCACAACCCAATCCAATAAACTTTACATTTGAAAATAACAAATGAAAAAAACACCAACAGTGGATCCTTACCTTAAAAGTGTAGGTTCAGGCATGCCTGGATCTGCTCCTCGTTTAAAACCTGTCAATGCAAACCAGGGAAAATATTTAAATAACTTGTCTTCAAGAAGAGATCCAATCACTGCCACCCTATTATAAAGCAGATATATCCCACTCATTATGTTGGTAGATGAAACATCAGCAAAAATCATTCCACGTGATGTGAAATACTTTAGTCACTTTGTGACACACTTTGGTTAGAAAGTCAACCCCAATGCAACAGCTGTGTTGGCTAAAACAGATCACTTTAGAGACTAAAACCAGACGCTGCTTCTAATCAAATCAAACTTCTGTGATTCAAACTGTTCACTTAGGAAGCAACACTTATTAAGGAGCAGTTCTGCAGGTGGGGACCATAGACCACTTCTTAGCTCCTGTGCTTTCTGGCTGATATTTTGTCATTTTTGAATATTGGTGGTACTTTCACACTCATAGTAGCATGAGTTAGACCCTACAAAGCACACCAGAGGATCAGTTAGTGTATCTCATTCAGGATAGCACATCAATGCAAGCTGTGGCAATAGGGTTTGTCATCTCTGTCAGCGTTGTGTAGAGAGGCTGGAGGCGCTACCAAGAGACAGACCGTTACACAAGGAGATGTGGAGGAGACTGTATGAGGGCAACAACCCAGCAGCTGAACCGCTACCTCCGCCTTTGTGCAAGGAGAAACAGGAGGAGCCCTGAAAAAGTAACCTCCAGCAGGCCACAAATGTATGAGTCTGCAGGCTGCAGATTTGAGTTTAAGGTTTCTGCAGTTACTGGCAGCCTCAAGTCACCTGAGCACCATGATCCAGACAGAATAGCTTAATCTGTCCTGACCTTAGCCTTTTTAACAACTTGGTTGGTGCACAATGCAACTTTGAGAAAAAATAAATGTACAGACATGAGAAAAATTGCATTTTCTTCAATCTTAAATCGGCAGGATTTCCAGCATATTCCAAACCTACAGCTCAAAGTGGCCGATCACGCAGACTTTCTGTGCAACACATGAAGAATAATATAATCTAGTCTATAGTGTTGAAAGTTTAAAACGGCAATTAAAAATCCCTCTTGGTGTATTGAGGTTACAAACTCCAAAACATACGTATAAAGTCATTTTGGCTTTTTCAATCTATTTTATAAAGGAAACGCAGGATTTCACTAAAATAGATTTATAAATAACCTCTAGATCTATAACACTTGAAAATTCTCCACATCTTGTTAATTTAAAACCTAAAATAACAGAAAAGAGCCTAAGTATGAACTGGAAAGGAAAACACATTAGCTGTCAATTTCCTTGTTAAAAAATAGAATCTGAAACGTGTGTGGGAGGAAGTACTTTCTACATCTGATCATTCATAAAAAAAAATTTTTTTAAAAGTGGAGATAATGCAGCTTTGAGACAGTTTTGTACACATCTCAAGTTGTCTGATTTACAAGTTTGCACTTTGTGTTTAATATGACAGGAAAAAATAAAATACATGAGTATTTTGAAACACAGTTGAACCACTTTCATTATTGTAAAAACAGATCGAATCGAAATGAATCGATTTAGAACTGTATGAATCAAAATCGATTCAGGACTTTGGCGAAAATACCCAGCCCTACACAGAACATTTTACAATGTACCTTTTTATATTTACCCCTAAGAGCATAAAAACATCTTACAAATATGCACAATGATGGCCCCTAAAGAGAAGAACATTTTTGCTGAAAGTTATTTTAATCTCCTAAAACCCTAGTTGTGTTCCCACTACTTATATTCAAATACTGCAACAAAACAATTAGTTTTATTGGCTAAATAAAAAAGTTGGGAACCTAATTGATTAAAAATCGAAAGTGTGACGTTAGCACTGGTGATTCCGACTTGCTGAAGTCAGAGAAGATCCTCTCACAGATGGAAAGTGAACCTGCGGTTACACATGCAAAATATTGAAGTTCCCGAGAAGTAACCTCCACAACACAGCCATGCAAAGCTCTTAACTTCCTCATTTTTAGCCCCGATTTAGGAAGAACAGCGAGACTTTAACCCACAGGGGACATTCTGCTGGGGTCCTTTACAGCTTTGGTCGGCATATAAAACTGCATAAACCGCAAAAACACCATAAATACATTACATTAAATAAAAAAGGAAAGAAGAAACAGGAACATTTACAGTGACGCTTTAAATGAAAGGCTAGCTTCTAAGGCTAAGTAGCATATATTAGCCAGGCGCCTCCTACTTCATTAGTTTTAATACTAACCTAAATAAAGCACGGTGGGAATGAACCCCCATCGGATAACAAACTGGCTGCACTGGAACAGCTGCTGCAGCCGCTGCTTGGTCTCCTTGCTCAGTTTAGCCATGTGTATATCCTGACAGCGAAGGTAACGATGCTTCGACCAAGGACAGGAAAAAGGAAGTGGCGTAGAAGAAAAGGAAATTTGATGTTCCCAGACTTCCAGCCACCGCCGCCTATTGGATAAAGGCGGTACTGCATGTACTGGTAACATTTTTTTTTCTTGTTAATTTTTTTTAAATAACTTTATTTGGAACAGTAACAATGAAAAACTCAAACAATACAGTATAATGAAGCATAATAGTCAATCATACATCCTAACACTTTTCTTGATATTTCTTTTCTTTTCTTTCAAGTTGTGATGTAAACAGATGTTTAGTTTATGCAAAACACTTCAGGAGAGAGAGAAAAAATCGAAATCCAAAGATATCTATAATTACATATGTCGAATATAACAGAATTAAAATAAAAGATAAATGAATAAATAAAAATAATAATAAAAAAAATACAAAACACACACAAAAAATAAATAAATAAATAAATAAAATAAAAAAGCCAAGTATGTCCTGGTAAACTAAGCAGGTATCCATGACCAAGAAATGTGTACAGGGTCTGTTTACTAAAGGTAAACAATATAAAAAGTGCTTGTGATTTCCATTGCCTGTCTCTATTTATTTGGTTACTTTATTCCTTCATGTTTGCCTTGTACAATCTTTTCTCTTATAAAACATTGAACTATTTCTGTGTCAAAGATGTTGTCCATTACCTTATTCGGTCATCATCACTTTACATTGAAGTTTTTAACATTGCTTTAGAGTTATTTTTATAAAATAATGTGTGTTTTAGTATATGGGCGCTAGTCAAATAAAAGTAACGCACTTTGCGGTTGCTAGGACAATTAGGCCTAGTTGCACATAAGTTTCATACCAGATTTTTCTGTAAACAGAACTTTTCAACACTGCCCCAGCACTGTTTAAAGCATGATCTGTCTTCAGAATTAAAAGTTAAACTTTTGAGTTAAAAAAAAAAAGATCAGCTAAAAAAAAACTCCCTGCCACAAGTAGTTGCTGTTTCTGTACTGCCCTAAATCTGTGGCATGCAGATGGCATGAGGTTTAATATCCAGAAGTGTTTATTTTCTTAAATACAAATTTATTTAAGTATATTTATCAATTCAATTATTTTTTTAATAGGTCATATCTCCATAAAGCAATTACATTGTTACAGCATATATGCACACAAAGAAAAAAATTGTTGGCACCCTTGTTTAGTTAAAAAACCCACAATGGTCACAGAAATATATTGAATCTGTTAAAAATAGCAATAAAGCTGTAAGAAAATGAAAAAAATATAAATCCAGCATTGCTTTGCAACCATGCTTCAAAAGGATAAAAAAAAAAAAAAAAAAAAACTTATAAGATAGGGCTGAACAAAAATGATAGTACCCCCAGAAAACTGACTGAAAATAACAAACAATCTTGCAATCAGTCAATGGATCTATATAGAGAGCTACAGGAAGTCACTGGGCAGGTTTTCGTTCACTATCAATTCAATCCCACTGTCACTACTGATGTGCAATCTAATTTAATATTAATCAATACTAATATTACAACCAAAGTTTATGCCAAAATTTGTATGCCACAACTAAACACACACAATACTGTAATTGTTCTCCAGGTTCACTCTACTCCCGCAAAACAGATTACCGAATCAGTTGGCAATTTATTGGTTTGGTTAACCAGTTACATTGGTTGATCGATAATCCATGGCTTGCTCAGTTCCTGCCCAATATATTGGTTAATCCAACTAGATTGGTTATTTTTCCAGCCAATCCACTGTAGAATACGTCTTTGGTAGCTAATGTTGATCATCTTAGCTGATGTAGCTTTAATAAAAGTCAAATAAAAACTCCCTCCAAATCAGTTATGTGGCTACATTAAAAGTTAAAATATAAAATTTTCCTAGTAACCCGGTTACATAATGTGTAGTCTAAGTGTGTATTATGTACACATACAAAAAAAAAATTAACCTGAAAACAAAAGCTGAGGTTTTTTTTAAAGTAACTATGGCTTTATTGTAACGATAGCAAACGATAGTGTTTAACTTTAGAGATGGTTCATGGAGATGATCAGAGAATGCCTCCTGCTGGAAGAAGAGAAACATCTCAGAGCACAGAAAGTTAAATATAGAAACACTTTATTTCCAGAAGTAGCAGTGAGTTATTTTCAGACATAGAAAGGCAAATATAACCAACTTTAGTATAACAGTATGATGTACAAGGATAGCTTAACATTTTACTGTAAACCCATATGACAAAACATGATTGGTATTGTCCCACCAAGCTATAGACACTCAACAACTATAGTAAACAGACTGCTTGAGGGTGGGGCAGCACAGTCGCTTGATTTCAGACATCAATTGTAGCACATGGTTTGAGTTTTATTCATTTCTTTCTGTTAGCATGTTTGGTGACACTGGGATGAAGTATTGAAAAAGAGGGGAGCAGGAATTACAACACTTTAGTACAACAAACATTTTAATGAGTGGGTTAGAACACAAAAGATGGCTACCTGTCATACAGGTGCCCACTCCTCTTAAAGTTCAGGTAGAAATCAGAAAACACTGTATCTGATAGACCTGCTGCCGTCCGTGTTTTAAAGTTTGGAAAGAGTCTTTATGGAGCAAAAAAACAATGTCCCTCTTTGGAAAAATACAGTGAAAGAGTCAAAACCTCTTTTTCGTATGAAAATACCAAAGTTCCTAACAACTGATTAGCTGTCCTTTGTGCAAAATTCTATACTCAATCATTCATACCCATCACCCCAAAAAAATGTAAATCATCATCTTTAAGAGGTGTTGCCGTTAACGAGCCGGCATATAAAGGAAGGTGCTAAAGGAGCGAGGTGGAAGGAAAGTATTGCTTCTCCATCGCGGTGAGAATACTGTGTGATTGTAAACAGAAGATCCGATTCTATGCATACTGGTTGATTATTCGAGTGGCTTGTTTTTAATGCAGTTCAGGAAGAATCAAAAACTTTTCAAAAGCACGTTTAAAATTGCTGCCCAATGCGGACAGAGGTTGGAGTGTTTAGCACAGAAGCATAAAAAAAAGACAATACTGAACAGAAGCGATTCGTATTGCTATGAGAATGAATTAACTGGTATTATAAAATAGTAGAGACAATTTTTCCCCCTAAGATAATTAAGCTTTGCTCAAAGTAGCAATCAGCAGCCTTTTTTCTAAAAAAACAAAAACAAAAAAAACATGCATAATCGTACATACAGACATAAGAAGAGCATGAAGGAAAACTGAGCAACAAATCAGGTGTGATAACTTTTTAAACCGTTTTTTTGTTTTAGTGATCATTTTAAGTGCATCTATTTATGATGGTAGACTGATGTCCTTCCTTGACATTACCCCGAATACATTAATAAAAAACAAAGTAAAAATAAGGAACCTGAAAGTGGTGTACCCGATGCCCTCCCTCCATCATTCACTGAGCTGCTCTGGATGTTTGAATGAAGCAAGAACACAAGCCGGTTTACAGCACAGAGAATCCGAAACGCCTAAAAATGGAGTGATGCAGGAAAACGGGGAGTGTTTCTTCACACTTTTGTAGTTAAATGCAGTCGGCATGGCTTGGAGTTCCAGATCACAGGAACAGGGTCACAAGATCACAGGATCAGAGATGAGGGTTCATATGAATAAAAAGAGTCTTAAAGGGTTCAAAGGTCAGAGCCGAGGTGAATGCTAATGCTTGGGGAGCGCTGGGTGTGGTTTGGCGTGGGACTCAAGTACCCCATCCCATCCTCCTGCAGGCTGCAGGAGTATCGGCCTGCCTCAGAGGCTGTGTGGTTGCTGGTGGGAACAGGGTTACCGCTGGCCACGTGCTCAAAGGAGCGAGAGAAGACGGCGCTGGCAGTGCGTGTCAGGCTGGTGAGAGCGCCCGCTCTGGGCACCGACTGGCTGGAAGTGAGGGTTAGCCGCTTGACAGACAGCTCTGCATTCTCGCTTGCCGCCCGACCCGTTGTCAGAGGCCCGGACTCCTTGTCCTTGCTGCTGCGCCCGCCGAGCCAACACTTCTTCATGGCCTTAACTCCAAGGTTCAGCGTGGTGGTGCTATTGCTGATAGTGATGGTGGGCGGGGTCATGTCAGGCCCCACTGCTCCCGGCCAAACCCCTTCATCTACTTCAGATATATCCATCAGCTCATCCGGGGAACCCAGATCCACTGCGTCTGTGAGGCAGACAGAGGGAAAAAAAACACTGCGATTAAAAGCAGGAGCTGAATGAAAGCTGAAAAACCTAATCTGTTATTCAGCTCATTTAATCCAATCCAGAGTTCCTTAAGAATAGAATATTTTTTATCAAAATGTATATATTTTTTAAAACACAAAACTTGCTGAATATCAGATGAGGTTAACTACCATCCAGCAGGTGGCGCCTTTACACTGTAGCATCAAGTTGAAAGGAACATCTCACCACCAAGCAAAAGATTTTAAGTGATAGTCCAGCACACATCAGGAGAAGGAGCAGATATGTGATAAGTGGTAGAAATCTAGTTTTAAAGGAGAGCATATTTTGTCCCAAAGGAAAAAAAAAGTAAAGCGTTTTTAAAAGCATAAGCGTCGGAAAAATCACAAAGGGAAAGCAGATGAAAGCAAACAAATAGCACAAATTTGCAATAACCAGTTGGTTCTCTCCTTTAACTCAAATACTTAAATAATTTAACCCTTTCCCCTTTTGTAAGAGCATACAAAAAACAGAATTATGTGAGGGGCCAACCAGCATATTCACAAATACAGATCAGAGCTAATCCTATCAGGACAGCAATACACTGGTGAGGAAACAGAAGGATAGGAAGGTCCTGTTTATGCCTTCCAGATTCAACCTGCTCAAAGCAAGTTAAGAGTTAGATTCTTTATATAAATTGAAGTCCAGGACCTGCGTATCTTTTGTTGGCTCCCATCTATCAGTCAGAAGCAAAAACATTGTTTCCAGTTGCAACCCAGGATCAACGTGCTGAGGTGTTTTGATCTTCTGAATACTTTTGCCCTAGTAAAAAAACAACAGTTCTCCTGAGCTGCAGAGTCAGGTTTCTAGAACTTCTCTAGAGGT